TTGAATATTTGATTGTAGACGATTTTCATCCCTTTGCTCTTCATTTTCATTTGAAGGGAACCATAATCAGCCTTTGAGATTTAGACTGTAGATGGTTTACTCTCTAACTTTGTCTTGAAAGAGAGACCATAATCAAACAAGTAGAGGCACCTAGTTGTAGATGGTTTATTCCCCCCTACTCTTCATTTTCATTTGAAGGGAACCATAATCAGCCTTTGAGATTTAGACTGTAGATGGTTTAATCCCTAACTTTGTCTTGAAAGAGAGACCATAATCAACCAAGTAAAAGGCACCTGGTTGTAGATGGTTTATTTCCCTCTTTTTCCTTTCTCAAAAGTAATAACGAAAGAGAGAGAAAGAAGGATACATAGAAAAAGACATAAATAAGAAGTATTCACAGAGAGGACTTTCCTTTTCTCTACCTGTATTAGTGAGACTTTTCCTTCCTTGCCTTCCCTTGAGCACTTTTCTTTTCTTCTCTCCTTATCTTTGCTTTTCTTAAGAATCTCTTGTGAAAATTTTCTCCGAAGAGTCTCTCCGTGTGTATATATTTCTAGCTTCCCCTTAAGGAGCTTAAATAGGGAGTGGGGTGGTTATGTAACTACCCCCTCCTCCTAGGTGAAGGACACCTGTCCCTCCTACTTAAAGAGAAAGAACTCCCTACTTAAGAGGGGGAACTCCCATACGGGATACTTTTTTGTAATTTTAATGATTTGGCTAGTAGACTAGCTAGCCCACTTATTATTCTTATTCTTCTTTTCTCTTTCAGCCCTATATGGGCATTCTTGTAATTGTACATATCTTTTAATATATAAGAGACTCTTTAGGTGGGGGTCATTCATTCTTGACACCTCTAAGATTATTCCTGTTCTTCTCTCTATTCAGACAAGAGTGTTGACAAGGAGTATCATATTGAAGAGGTTTAGGAAGAAAACAAGATTCCCTACCTTCTTCTTCTATGCTCTTCACTCCAATCTTCTTCTCTTTTCTCTTCCCACTTGTTTCTTAGTGCTAGAAATCACTCAAGTCAAGCCAAATAGACTAATTTTGACACTAAAATTCAGGACAAACGTAGAACGAAAGGTTTGGAATAGTTTTCTCTATGCTTTTCTTCTGAGACCCAAGTAATTCACTAATAACTTTGATTACTATATCCTGTGTCTTTTTTATTGTTGTTTCATAAAGGAATGGATGTTCATTAGTCACTAATGGAGCATGAAAAAATAGAGGGACAAATAATTTCACCCATAGGAAGTAGTTTGTCAGTTCTTCCAAGTTAAGCTTTGGTCTGATTTACAAAATTCTGGATACAGTCCTACTTAAAGAATGCAGAAATCGAAGGAGATAAGTTCCTCAACAACAGTCAAATGATTATTGATATTCAGGAAGTGCTCAATCATTTGATCCATGGCAATTCTTGATTCAGAGCCCCCTGCTCCAACACAGATCTTTCAGAACACTAAAACACATATATACTTTCATAGAACATTTTTTGGTGCAATGCTTTAGCATGTGTGTCATCCTGCCATTCTGTGTTTCTCCAAGTGATTGACTTCTTCACTGTATAAGGAAAAGACAACAACTTAATTGTTTCATTGTATGCATGAAATCTCTACCAAGGGTGTTTCTCTTAACTACAAAAATCAGAATTATTTTTTTGTAATGAGTGCACTTAATTGGAGGTGGAGCAAATTGTTGGCATTGGGAATCTATTGCAGATAGATATTTCCTTTCAGTATAAAACAGGTGTATTTATATTGTTACATTATTAATTTATGGTCAATCAGAGGATAACTTCAAGGTTTATATTTCCATTTTCCTATAATTGATCTTATATTTTTCAATGTAGATGGGGAAACACTCCACTTGATGAAGGCCATAGATGTGGGAGCAAACCTTTAACCAAGATATTGGAGCATGCTAAAGAGGAACACATGGGTGAACGTTGTGTCTTACAGAGGTAACATTTGCTGACAAGATCCTAATAACAATCACAAGACCCTTTAGCTCATGCACGTTCCCTAACGTATATAAAGTAGAACTGCATAGATGTCCATGACCATAACCAAATTAATAAGACATTGAAAATGTTAAGTGAAAATAACAACTTAGAAGAATGAACAATGTCAAGCAGTAATAGAATAATACAAACAAGAAACGTAAAGGTGAAACTATTTTATAGGCATGTCATTGATACAGGGAACAATGGAAGTGGACTAGGTCAACCATCTCAACATCAATTTACAAAGGAGAGAAGATTGTAAACTGAGCTATGAACCTAGTTAAGTCCCATCTTCTGTACATTGTTCAATTCACAATCAAAAGGTCAACTTAGGAATGCATGAAAAATAAAAGAAAATAAGAGGAAAACCAGGTATTACCATTTTCTAGGCTATTAAACCTGTATGGATTCTCTCAACCAAGACCCAATATACTAAGGTAAGCTATTTTTAACCCATAGGGTTCTCAAAATAAATCTTGCCAGACTTTGGTGTTGCTTCCAATGCATGCAACAACTGAACCTCGAAGATCTTTACAATGGGATTCAAATAGAAATGGCTGAGAAGAACCCCAAATTGTTCTGGGTCAAAACAATAAGAATTTCTGTGCAAAACTTTCTGAGAACTTTGGTAGTCAGGAAAATATGTTGATCACTCCATAGGTAAATAAATATCAGTTTGAACTTCGAAATTCTGATCTTGGCACATATGTTCAACATGTATGGATATGTTCATCATCATCATCATCATCCATGCCTTATCCCAACTATATGAGGTCGGCTACATGAACAATGAATCACATTTCACAAATTCATTCTATTTAAAGCCATATCCACTGTTAAATTATTAGTGCTTAAATCATTTCTTACTACTGCTACCCATGTCCTTTTTGGTCTACCCCTATCTCTTCTAGCCCCTTCCACTTATAACAAATAATTCCTAATTAGGACTGTTGGTGATCTTCTATGCACGTGACCAAACCATCTTAGTCTACTCTATATCATTTTACCACTTATTGGGGCCACTCCTAGGTTTCAATGGATGGCTTCATTTCTGATCCTATCCTTTCTAGTTTTTCCACTCATCCATCTTAGGTTCGCCTGTCTGCCACACTCATTTTCTCAACATGTCTCTTGAATGCCCAGACTATGTGCATTTTCATTTTATTTTTCAATCATAGATGGTAAGAGAATTTGTTAATGTTTTCTATTCACCCATACAATATAGTTTGTTTGTGTATGGACAACAACTATTTTGTTGAACATATCAACAATTAACAAAAGAATAAATAAAAATTGGATTTTTGGCTACCTTGAACTTTGTAAAAAAAATCTACGTTAGACCCTAAGCATAGAAAAGGGCCATTTTCATCTTCAAACTATGATGGAAAGGCCACATTAAGCCAAAAAGGATTAGAGACATCAGTTCCATTAGACAACGAATAAAATAATAAAGCATGCTTATATGACACTACTCAAGTAAAAAAAAATTGGGAAATTGCAGGCCAATTTAGACCCTAAAGTTTGAAAAAGCCACTTTAGATGTTAAAAAGTTATTATTTGAAACATAAATTTTATTAATTTTATCATGATTGTAATGATCCTTGATAAAGGGGCCTATGATGGAAGAACAGTAAATAAATAGTCATTAATTAACTAATTAAGAGTAAATTATTTCTTAAATATAAACTTAATTAGCTTAACTAATAGAAAATAAGCAATCACTTGATTTACTTAGTTAACTTAGTAATCAATTTCTAATTTACTTAATTAATAGTAACTTAATTTACTTATTTACCTTAATTAGCCTAATTTCTTTAATTGTTCTATTTACTTATTTTAATTTACTTAATTAATTAGTTAATTCACTTAATTGCTTGGTTTTAAAATTGTCGTTGACCTAGGCGATCAAATTGTTCGTTTCCATTTTATACTTGGCCCGAAATTTTCCATAAAAATGTTCATGTGATCAGCAAACTACTGACCCAAATGGTTGAACCGCTAAACTATTCGCCTAGTGAACGGTTTTCAAGTCTTTTTTTTTTATTTTTCAAAACATCACAGGCTGATTTGTTTGGACCAGAAGGTTGAACCACTGACCTAGAAACCCTTGGCCAAAGCAGTTCCATTTTCAGCTCAGTTTTTAAAACCTTGCTTAATTGGCTTAATTTACTTATTTAGATCGATTTTCTTTGTTTATTTAATTTATTCATCAAACTTAGTTTCCCTAATTAATTTGATTTATTTATTCCATTGTTTAATTTGCATATTTGGCTTAATTTACTTAATTATCTTAATTAGTGTAATTTATTCAATTTACTTAATTAACTTTGTCTTCATAGACTCCAAAGTAGTTTACTCAATATGTCCTTTTAAAAACTTTAGGGTCTAAAGTGGCTTTTTCAAACCTGAGCAATGCTACATAAGCATGCTTTATTATTGTATTCGTTGTCTAAGGAACCGTCAACAACTTCTCTAGCGTCATCCCTTATTGTCTTAACATGGCCTTTTCCATCATAGATTGTACAAGTGCTCATGGTTCGGTTAACCAAACTATAGGCCTTCTTTATAAACCAAACTAGTCTTTTGTTTTTGGAAAACCGAAAATCCAAACCAATTAGTTGATCGGTTTGGTTCTTCGATTTTTCGATTTTTTTAAATTTACAATATATATCATCAATAAATATATAATTATATAATATAAATACTAGAAATACATGTAAATTATATATATCTTATGACATTTTACAAAATAAATGACCAAGTTTGGTCATTTGATAAAATTAGTTATGTTTTTAAAATAATGATAAAAACAATGAGCGGGACAAGAAAATCATTTTCTTCATTGACCAAATTGCCCCTTTAAATCTGAGATGATCGAAGTTACTGTTCATTGTCGTCCTCCTCCCAACACTCAAACACAGAACTTGGCGGTGTATCGTCGTCCTGTATAAACTATTATGAGTAGTAATGAAGTTATCTTTTTTGTTTCTAGAAAAAAAAAATTATGTTACAATTTCAAAACTTATTCCCCTCCCAAAACCGAAATCGTGTTTTATTTCATCCCCTTTTGCTTTTCAAACCCTAGCCTCCTTCCAATCTCCCATCCCCGTAGAACACCGATTCACTGTACCGGCGAACCCTAGCCTCCGTCGTGACGCTCTCCACCAGTTCCACCCTCCTAGTCCTGACCACCACCTTCCATACTTCCCTTTCCCTTCTTCTCAATCTCTTATCTCATTCTAAGAAGTAAGGTCGTTCATCTGTTCTTCCTCCAAGACCACCACAAAAGGAAGGAGTTGAATAAGGATGTCTGGTTGCCGCTCACAAAAGGACGAAGAAACACTCGATGCCGAACACCTGAATAGTGTCAAAGGCTCCTCTAGTCGCACAAGGAGGAATGCCTGAATGCTCTAAACCATTGATTGCCTCTGTTTCTAGGCTTGGTTGAAGGCTCTCTATTTTTGGACTTGGTTACTGCCTTCACCAATCACCGCTAACTGCCGTTATTATCTCACTCAAAGGTAACAATCTAAGGAAAACAACAACTATCTTTTGTCATCAACATTCTTGAATGCTTACATTGTTTTTGTAGTTTGTTTATTTGGGCTTCAGGGTATTACGACTTACCTTTTTTCCATTTCACCAATCACCTCCAACGACAACTAACTAGCCGGTGAATTGGTTAGCCAATTTACAATGGTTCGGTATCAAAAACTTAGTCCCGAACCGCGATCACCCCTAGATGTTAACTTCCCCTTAGTCACGTATCTCCTGAGAGAATAATGTAAACAATTGTCTCGTTTTGTTAGTTCTATTTTAAATTTCTGCTTAAAGGGGCAATTTGGTTTGATTGTGGAGGAGTGTGGGAGGAGGAAGACAATGAACAGTAACTTCGGCCATCTTAGATTTAAAGGGGTAATTTGGTCAAAAGAATGATTTTCTTGTCCCGCTCATTGTTTTTGTCATTATTTTAAAAACATTAATGATTCTTTCAAATGACCAAACTTGATCATTTATTTTGTAAAATGTCCTACATCTTATATATTATAAATATTTATTTATATAATGCATATATATTTATGTATATAATATATGAAAAACATATAATATATATATGTATATATATACACACTAGTCGGTTTGATTAAAGTTGAAAATTACACCTACAGTAACTTAGATAATGCAAGAAAAGAAGAAAAGAAGTTTCAGCAATCGGTTGTGGAAGAAAAAAAAGGGGAAGAGAGAAAAGAAGAATTTGAACTTCTCTCTCTCTAGCCCCCTTTCATCACTTTTATTAATAATTCTAAGTTTGATCTCAATTATCAGGATGCCCTTATTGGGGCGGCCAACACTAAAGAGATAATTAAAGAAAATAAAAGAAGGCCCATAACTAAGAAGCATAACTTTTAAACACTACTTAAAAGAAATAAAGAACACTAGGGCCCATTCGGCCCATTCTCACTACACTCCCCCTCAAGTTAAGTATAGATGGCTATCATGCCCAACTTGCTTACATAATGTTGAAGCTTTGCCTTTGGGACTCCCTTAGTTAGAAAATCTGCTAGCTGCTCTTTTGATGTAGTGAAAGGTAGGCACACTTCTCTTGAAGCCACTCTCCGGTATAAACTGTATCTCTACCTCAATGTGCTTAGTTCTATAATGCTGAATTGGGTTGTGAGCAATGTTAATGATAAGTTTGGTTATAACAATACAACATCAGTGGCTCATCACATGAAACACCCATCTCATTAAAGGAGAGATCTAAGCCATAACAACTCAGAAACACCATGGGCCATAGCTCTATACTCTTCCTCAGTTGAAGATCTAGCAACCATTGACTGCTTTTGCTTCTCTAGGAAACAATATTTCTGGCTACCATAGCACACTATTCTGATGTGGATCTCCTGTCATCCACATTTCCTGCCCAATCAGCATTTGTATATGCTTCTACCTTCATG